TAAAAGTTGTGTTGGGGGAGGGTTTAGGTTGGACATCAGGAGCAATTTCGGAGTCCCCATCCCTGCAGGGATTTAAAAGCCCTGTGGATGTGGCACTTGGGGACATGGGGCAGTGGTGGCCTTGGCAGACTGTCTGTTCTCAAAGGACTTTTCCAACCTAAACMATTCTGTRATTTCATAAAAYACACTTGCTGTGACTGACACAAGTTACCCAGTACAATCACCCACGGTATCACTTTGKTCCCTTACAGATACATTAGCTCACAATATCCTCCCTCTTTTCCTGTAGGCCTGGCACAGGTTTTTCTGCATCTCCAGTACTCCACAATCTTTCTTGCCACAAAAAATCCATCGAATACATCGGGCTGTGAATTGGTCCTGCGAGCACAGGATGGTTTCCAGGGCTGTTTTTACATAATCAGATTCCCAGAATAGTTTGGGTGGGAAAGGACTTAAAACTTATCACATTCCACCCCTGCCATGGGCAGAGACACCTTTCACTGTCCCAGGGTGCTCCAAGCCCATCCAACCTGTCCTGGAACATTTCCAGAGATCCAGGGGCAGCCACAGTTCCAGGATTGTGGAGTTAACATCCTACTCTCCAGGTGGAAAATACCTGATCTTTCATTCAAACACTCATCCCCATCTCTCAAAGTACAGCTTGATTCCACAGAAGGCTCACAAAGCAATTCTTGAAAGAGTTTGATCGAAAGACTGCAGGGATTTAAAGACAGAAAATGTCAGCTATTTTTCTATAGTCCATTCTCAACTGCATAATTTATAATCACTCCTCATCGGGGAGTGAGCTCATGGGTGAAGCTGCTGCTATTCCCTTCAGACAAAGAGCTGCCATCTGACAGGTCTCAGCCATTTTGGCAGGAAATAGGATTCATTTTTCGTCRCAGGCATGCAGCTAGGTGCAAATTATGAGCCCAATTCTTACATAAGTACCTTCATTTRCTAAAATTACTGCTTATTCTCCTTCTAAGAAAACCTGATCCTGCCATTGAGCTCATGTCTCGCCACATGAGGGAAGGTGCACCTGGAGAAGGGATGTGCCCTTTTCCAAAAATAGTTTTCTCTAAAGCCATGACCAAACAGGGAAAGTAAAGCACCCTCCTACARCATCCTGCTGTATTTGGGGGCTCTCTTAGGTTGCCTGGAGCCTCCCACCAGAGACATAAAATTATTCCAGYGTGAGCTGCAGCCGTGTGTTTCACTGAGCCATATGTCTGGAGCTCTGGAAATCATGCCCAGAACTTTGTCCCCATCACCTTCCATGGCTTTTCTGGACATCCCAGCAGTTGGAGAGAGCCCAGTGGTGCAGGATCAACCAGCACATCAACCTGGATCCATGGAATTGTTTTATTACACCGACAAACAGCTCGTTCTCATGTCTGTCACTGCTCCAGTGGCAAAACCACATCTCCTGAGACAGCACATTGCAGCTGCACCTGACCTACAGATCCACAGAGAGAGTTTGTCTGCTTCCCGTGTTTTTCTTGTCCATTCCAAATGCTGGCTCCTGYATTTTAACCACCATCTGAGTGCACCATTTGCATTGCTTCATTTGAAGATTTCAGGACAGATGCTGATATCTCTGTTGCCAGYRACAGAATACYTGGAGCTGTGCCAGGGTGGGTTCAGGCTGGATTTTTGGGAAAGGTTYTTCTGTCCCCAGAGGGTGCTGGCACTGCCCAGGCTCCCCAGGGAATGGTCCCGGCCCGAGGCTGCCAGAGCTCCAGGAGCGTTTGTGGATGCACAGGGGGGATTTTTGGGGGGTCTGGGCAGGGCCAGGSGTTGGATCCATGATCCCTGTGGGTCCTTTCCAATTCAGGACATTCTATGATTAATATGTTCAGTTATTWATGGGAATAATTAACATCTTTCCTCTTAGATCCAACAGGAGAAGTGTATGTACTACTGTCACAAGAAATTTTTTACAATTACTTTCTGGTGCCCTTTCAAAAGGTGCTAAAGTGGTCATTTCTCACAAATTCTACTCCACTATTTCTGAAGAGCTGTACCTGTTTWATTTTGAATTCCTTAAATTCCAGCTGGACAGAGACTTCAGCTAGAACTGACTCAGTTGTTGATGTAACAGTGTAAGAACTGGAACTGTCCAAATGTTTAATTCATGTTAGCTACCATTTCATAGTGCTCTTTCTGGCAGGAGCATGGCTTGTGTCACCTCCAGAGAGACAGGGAGTTCTGCTGTGGTTGTCTTATCACGGAATCCAYAGGATCATGGAATGGGTTGGGTTGGAAGGGACCTTAAATCCTATCCAGTGCCACCCCTRCCAKGGGCAGGGACACCTTCCACTGTCCCAGAGTGCTCCAGACCCTGTCCAGYCTGGCTTTGGACACTGCCAGGGATCCAGGGGCAGCCACGGCTTCTCTGGGCACCCCACCTCCTTCCCAATATCCCATCCATCCCTTCCCAATGTCAGTTTGAAGCTATTCCCCCTTGTCCATCATTCCATGCCCTTGCCCCAACTCTTAAACCCCGTCCCACATCGCGACGCAGCTCCTCCTTCCCTTGCCCTGTAGTTTGTTTTCAGCTCTCCTATTCTCGGTGCTTCTTTCCTCCTCTCGCGCACATTATTCACATCCTCCCGCATTATTCACATCCTCCCGCACGGTTTATTCCGCCTCACGCCTCATCCCGGCATTGCTATCCAGGACCGGGGGCAGCGCGGCGCTCCCCGTCCGCTCCAGTCCCGACCCGCGCCGGGTGCCGCACCACACTTTGGACCCTCCTCGCTTCCCGTCCGCCCCAGGGGAGCGACCGGCGGCGGAGCCGCAGCCTCACCCGGAGGAGGCGGTGGCGGGACGCGAGCCCTGAGGCAGCCGAGCCGCTTCCTCCTCCTCCCTCCTCCTCCTCCTCCTCCTCTTCCTCCCCCCTCAAGATGGCGGCGGACCCCGCGGATCAGTTCTGCGTGGCCGAGGAACGCAGCGGCCACTGCGCCGTGGTGGACGGGAACTTTCTCTACGTGTGGGGAGGATACGTGGTAAGGCGGGCGGGGGGTGCGGGGGAGCTGGAAAGGGGGCGCCGGGAGCGGGCTCCGGGCGCGGGGAGCGGAGCCCCGGGCGGGGCGGGGGGGGTCCCCCCGCCGCCCCTCAGCCCTCGGCGGGCGCCCGGGGCCGCGGCGCCGGCGCTGATTGGCTACGGCGGCCGCGCGCCGTTCGAATGGCGGCGGGAGGCGCTGAGGGGACAGCGGGGATGGCGCTGAGGGGACGAAAGGGATGGTGCTGAGGGGATGGCGCTGAGGGGATGGCGTTGAGGGGAACGGCGGGGATGGCGCTGAGGGTCCGGCGGCGATGGCGCTGAGGGGACGGTGCTGAGGGGACGGCGGGGATGGCTCTGACGGAATGGCAGAGATGGCTCTGAGGGGATGGCGCTGAGGGGCCGGCGGCGGAAGACACTGAGGGGCCGGCGGCGACGGCTCTGAGGGGCCGTTGGGGATGGCGCCGAGGGGCCGGCGGGGATGGCGCCGAGGGGCCGGCGGGGATGGCGCCGAGGGGCCGGCGGGGATGGCGCTGAGGGGATAGCTCTGAGGGGATGGCGCCGAGGGGCCGGCGGGGATGGCTCTGAGGGGATGGCGCCGAGGGGCCGGCGGGGATGGCGCTGAGGGCATTGCGCTGAGGGGACGGCGCTGAGGGGCCGGCGGGGATGGCTCTGACGGGATGGCGCTGATGGATCTGAGGGAATGGCGCTGAGGGGATGGCGGGGGCCGCTCCAAGCGCCTCGTCCCGCCGCCCTTTCCCTGCGCCTCGTGTCCGCGATCAGCGCCCTCCTGCCCCGCCTCCCCTTTTTGTGTGGGGAAGGGCTGGTGGAGCCGGTTCGCTGCCGTCCCCTTCCAACGTCCTCTCCGTTCCTCTGAGCGCGTGTCCCTCCAAGCCTCAACGGTTGTCATTTGTGGCTCCGTTTTTTCGTGGTGTAATTCGTGTTCTTGTTGCCGAGTCCTGTATTTTTTATTTCTTAGTAGTTGTGTGGTGCGTGCAGTGTGTTTTCCTCCCGCAGAAAGCACTTGTCACTTCAGAAGCAAGCTGGTGACATATTAAACCCCACAGTTGTTGGTTTTTTTTTTTTTTTGGTTTGTTTTTTTTTTAATAGAAAGAACACTTCTGGTTCTGTCCTAAGTAAATCCTTGCGTCTTTTAGCTCTATGAATTCAGCCCAAAAGAGACTCAAGAATAATTATACATTAAATACGTCCACTTCGTTTTACTTGTTATTTTTCTGCTTATGTTTATCTATTCATTTTATCTATCTGTGCACATTGGCCATAAAGTTGAAAATACCCGTGTTTGATGTAATTCCTWGTCTTGATCAGGTGGAAACTCTTACTTCTTTAAACACATTTCATACTTATCTATATTTTTCATGGRCTGAGGTAACTTTAAAGTATTTAAAGCTTGTCCTTCTATGCTCCACCAAAGAATTCCAGTTGGAGACTCCTGGATTTAAACTTCACAATACTGTGTATGACCAAATATCCCCTAAATCACTGGTAATCTTTAGTAGTTTTCCATGCTCTGGTCTTTAAAACTGARGTTGAACTAACAACCACAATTTTTCAAAGGTTTTCTAATAAAAAAATGTGRGTTCATGGCACAGTCAAAACAGACGATGTATATTAAGTTTAGCAGATAAACTTTGSAAATGTTCTTAGTAGTTTTATGTATTTATCTGTTGAGACTATTATGAAAATTGTTGCTGTTTAAGCAGCCCTTTACACAGATAAATCATTTTTCATGTGGTGCTGGTGGACTCCTGCCCAGCAGACTTTATTTTTGGCATCGGTGTGCTTGCTCAGGSCTGGTTCTGGAGCAAGTGCTTGACCTCTGACATATCCAGATTAAATTGAGTCAACTTGTGCACGTTGCAGAAGCTGCTAGGAGTGTGTAACAGCAGAGTAAAGGTACCTGGCAGAGTAAATGCACCAAAAATAGGATGTACCTGCCTGCTTGGCACCTTTCARAGTGAGGAATTCATAATAAAACATCTTTTGAAGGCGAGTAATCATTGTCAGTAACTGAATTGTTACTAATTAAATTTTAGTTTTGTATTTAACTTCTTCACATTGATTTAATTTTGATCCARTTTTTGTTTATTTACTGACCCTGGCTGCTTACTCACTGTCAGGCTTTAATTTCTTTTTGGTGTCAAGGCAGTAATTAATGCTGTAGTTGTTACTCAGCATGAGTACTGCATGTTTTTGGGCTTCCTTCTCCTGTTTGTTGTTTTTCCTCATTGTTATTTCCCAAATTATTTTTCTTTCTTAATAACCTCTGTTTAGGAGTCTTCATAAATCTTTTTTCCACAGACGATTTATTTTTCTCCTTTATATTTGACATTTTGGCCTTTTAAATTCCTTCCTTCAGCTGTTGCAAGTAACTTTTTTCTGTTTTCAGCCAACTTTTTATATTATATTTTTTATTCTACATTTTTCCATTATGCCAATGGAAATGCCTCCTGATTAAAARTATCTCCCACAACAGAAGAAAATGAGTTTTAAATCAGGAGCCTCAAATGTGGTTGATGTCACTGCGTATCTTTTCATGGCAAAATATTCAGTTGGTCAATCTGTGCCTTTATTGGATGGTCCTGAGGAGGAATTAAGTTGTTTATATTTAAAATAAATTAGTTTTATGATCAGAGCAGCAACACTGAGGTGTTACTTTGCTCTGGTAGCTGATTTCCTTAAGACTATTCAGTGTTGCTAAGTAACATGGCTTGGCATTTCATGTTCAGATGTATGRTGTGGAAAACAGAACTGATTTAACATTTGCACATTCCCCTTTTAGTCAATTGAAGAAAACGAAGTTTATCTGCCCAGCGATGAGCTCTGGATCTATGACATGGACAGTGGGCTATGGCAAGTGGCTTCATTTGTATTTAATTAATACTTKAGGTTGATTTTTGCAGAGGTGACRCTGMTCTGAAGTGAAAAGGCTTCAGTGACATTGGTCATGTGAAATAGCMAATGTTTAATGTAAACACTGAAGGWCAGACCTGTGCTGGCAAATTAACTCCAGGAAACACATTCATTGCTGAGGTGTAATTATTGTGTTCAAGGGAATGTTGGAAATGGTTGGCTCAAGGCTCTGTTAACACAGGTGCATTCACTTGGCAGTTTATTTTAGCTTAGTTTTTCACACATTACCTTTAATGTCAGAATACAGTTAAACACTGGGGACTTGGGCTCCTGATCTAGTTAAAATTGTGCATTACTTTTGGTATTAATTGTGTATACAACTCAACTCAGAAATAACTCATAACTTCCCATTTTTCCTTTCCTCCTTTTTCTTTCTTTCTTCCTCCCTTTTCTTTCTTCCTCCCCTTTTTCCTTCTCCCCTCCCCTTGTTCCTTCTGTCCCCTTTTTCTTTCTTTCCCGTTTTTCTTTCCTTCTCCCTTCCCCTTTTTCTTTCTTTCCCCACCTTTGCCCACTTTCCTTTTTCCCCACCTTTCCCCCCACTTTTTTCCCCTTCTCCCTTTCTTCTGTCCCCCTTCTCTCCCTTTTCTCTGCTTCTCCCTTTTCTTTCCCATGTGCTCCCCCCTTTTTTCCTCTTCTCTTCCCCCCTTTTTTTGCCTTTTCCCCCATTTCTTCCCCCTACACACCGTGCTTTGCCATCCCTTTCCTGTGAGAATAGGGTTGCCCAAAGTCTCCTCACACTCCCTTAGTTTTCCCCCATGTYCCAGCTCACTTGTCCCAGTCCAACTCACAAGGAACTGGGATCAGGAGAGTGATCTGGGTTAAATAAAACTTTTTTTTTTTTTAGGGTTGTATTTAACCAGGATCTGCTCCTTCCCAGCACAGACAATTGTACACGTGCAGGGCACAGCAGCAATGAGGGAGCAGGAGCCTCAARTTTTCCATTTCTGACATCACAGCAATGCCAGATTCTCATTTTAGGAATTCTTGGAGTTAATATTATTTCCAGATGCTGAATAGTTAATGCTTCAGCTCTGTTAAAGCTCTTTTAATATGAATTTCACCTTCAGGAAAATAAAGATGATTTATAAAAACACAATATCTACCTGGAAGTTCTCTTCCACCCTTCAGGAATTCCTACTGTTAAATATGATCCAAACCATATTTTCACTTTTTAAGTCTAAAACTTCTTAGTAAGTCTGCTTGGGCTTGTTACATTTTAGCAGATTTGAAGGGATTTAATTTATTTTTTTCAATTGCAGGACAATGCACCTGATGGAAGGGGAGTTACCCACCTCCATGTCMGGGAGCTGTGGGGCAAGCATCAATGGGAAGCTGTACATTTTTGGGGGATTTGATGACAAAGGATACAGTAATCGGGTATTGTAGTMATTTTTTTCCATAACATTTGATTGTAATAGGTACTAATGCTGACCTTGATGTTTATCTGATATATTTATACTTGAATTAAGGAGAAATTTGAGGAAAAGCTTTTTTTTTCTAAAACTTTCTGTATTTATGCCAGTGCTTTCCTAATTGTTTTTTTAAAAACATTTTGACAAGCTTAACGGGGACTAATCACAAAATATAATTTTTATTTTTGCTCTTCATTAGCAATCATTTTAAAATAATCAAGTAAAATTCAGGTTAAAATAGAGCTACCAGCTGTCCTTGTAACTGAAAACTGAATAAACAAAGTAGATTAAATTGGTTGTTTTATCACTTAACGTAAATAAAGTCAGGGTTCACTCCTGACTAGAAAATCAGGGAAATGGAGCCTCTCATCAAACTTGTTGCCAATTCTCACCCTTTAACTGTGTTTTCGTGGTGTGTTTGGCATTATAAACTCACTGCCAGTTCTTCTTTTTTATTTCCAGACTTCTGGGGGTGGTGTGTTGTTCTTTCTGGTGGTGATTTGTGCTTTATACTGAAAACATTGTATTTTTTTTTCCTTTCAAGCTGTATTATGTCGATTTGCGAACAAAAACCGGAACCTACAGGTGGAAAAAAATCACAAATTTTAAAGGTCAACCTCCCACACCACGTGACAAACTTTCCTGCTGGGTGTACAAGAATAGGTAAAACACATTAAAAATATTTAAAATGTGGTAATTGCCAAGAGAAAGTGTTAAAAGTGAAGAGAATACGCATTTGGAATGCAGGAAACTAATTTTTAGCTTGACTTGCTGGGGGATTTTGTAACAACTTTGTACCAGAGTTTCCTCACATGTGAACTTAATTAATGGTAAATAAAATAAAACCCCACTTTAGGAGAGGGGTGGGATATTTTAGGGAAAGTTTGTGGAATGTTTTATACTTTAGAAAGTCATTATACATCTATTGTATGGTTTTAATACATTAAAAATCAGTATTCATTTACTTTCTCTGTTACATTCACTATTTTAAGCAGTAAATTATTACCTGCAATAAATACATTTAGTGTTTGTAAGGATTTTAACAGCTGACAATTGCAAAGGCATTTCAGTGATTAATTTTATCTTGCAAGAACTGAGTCAGCCTAGACATTTGAGTTGTAAAAGTGACTAAGTGTGTTTAGAAAATAGACTTGGCTAAACAGAAATACTCCAGATTCTGTGTTTATTATGGAAAATGTCTGGATAATGAGGCATAAGTGATCACACGGAGGTGCCATGTCAGTGATTTGTTATTAAAGTTGTTACAAACAAGTCAGAATATGATTTCCAGTAAACATTATCAAATGTAAATGATTTATCTCTTTCTGGACTCCACATCTAAAGAGGTTTTRCATAAGCTATGCAATGCCCTTGGGTTCTGTATCTTGGGTTTGTAATTCTAATTTAACTGCTATAGAGAGGGAAATACAGATGTTTGAACAACTCCTTAGCTGTTAAAACAAGATTATTCCAAGCTAAATGCATTTAGTCAGAGTGTCATGTCATTTTTATGCTGAGWAAATCACCTGTTTTAGATGATAGARTGGAACCTTTGCATTTTTAAAAGATTTCTTATGGATGGTGCTTTCCTGGTTGGAATATTGGGCTGGAAGGTGTCTGATGATCCTTACAGTGGGAAATTTCAGTAGTGCTTAGTTGGAAAATCTCATTTTAAGCCAGGGAGAGACTTTTTATGTCCCAGACAGTCTGTGGAACAAATCTTGAGAACATTTCTTGCCAAAATGTGGACACAGAAGGCCAACAAATACATCAGGAGCACAGGAATTGCACTGGAGAAGGGCAGAAATTGGAGCAGAAGGAAACACTTCAYTGTCACGTTTCCCATTYTTGCCTGAAAATACCACTGATAATRAATTTTTGGAGAGAGGAGCAAAGACTTTGAGTTGTYTTGAATTTCTTTCCTTGTGTGGGTTTCAGTCAGGCTTTTTGAGGGTGTAGCTGTGACCTTCACCTGGTTAAGGTTTGCATCATCAGGTGCAACATGAAATACTTTCATTGTTTGTATTACTGTTAGTGCTGTAGTAACCCAAAATATTAATTATTCCCATTTATCCATTTTAATCTTATTTACAGAACAGCTCAGTGAAGTGATTTTGTTGTTGTTTCAGGCTGATCTATTTTGGGGGCTATGGCTGCAGGAAGCACAGTGAGCTCAGTGATTGTTTCGATGTGCACGATGCATTTTGGGTAAGACATTTGTCCCCATTCCCACTGATTTGTCCTTTTTGATTGGGAAAGAGAAAGATCCTTTTTAGTGCCCTTGATAAGTGTGAAAATCTGATTTTTCTTTMATTTGTAGCATCAGCAGAAATGCAAATATGGAATCTTTTTAAGATCTGAAATTCCAGATACTGCAYGTTGAGAGTGGTGATTGTTCCACATGTTCCACGTTCCCAGAGCTGGGGTTGGAGTGCAATGAATTAAATGCTGTCAAAGGAGCAAAAAAGGCAGGATTTGAATCTGAAGACATATTTTAAAGCTGAAACTCCCAGAAAATTTTAGAATTGGTTTTTAGAAGTAGCAATACAGAATTTACAGCTTCCTAAGCCTAACTGATAAATACTCCTAGTTAATTAATTGAATTTGTTCTCCAGAAAGATGCCTGGATTATCAACTTGCCTKCAGTAATTTCTTATAATTAAAACAGAGATGACTGATCAGAATATTCACAGGAAGCTCCTGACATCAAATATTAAAGACTGACACACAGGAATTATTAATCTATACAATCTTCATTTCTCAGTGTGTTACAATAAAATTTAGAAGGTGAAATTTGYCTGCTGCAGTGTCTGATGTTGAGGCCCAAAGCCAATTTTCAGATATCATCAGCCTGAACATTCCTGGGTGCTGCTGACCTTCAAGCAGAGCTTATTAAAAATATCACCACATCTTTTAATTAAATTAAAAATAGTTTAGTTTCTTTTCTGTTTTGTCAGATGCCTTCTAGGTTTGTATCCTTGAATAAGCAGAATGATTTTAAAATAAAATCTATTTTTTAAAAAATTCTTGTTTTCTAGGAAGGACAGATATTCTGGGGATGGCATAATGATGTTCATGTTTTTGATACAACCACACAGACTTGGTCTCAACCAACAATTCAAGTGAGTAGTTTTTTTGCCTCACTTCTTGACAAAATTGCGATTTTACTGTGTTTTGAATAATTATTGTGCTCTAGAAATTGATGTTGGCAAAAGTAATTTGAAGGGACATCTTCCACAATCTCAAGGTGCTCCAAGCTCCAATGTCCAGCSTGGCTTTGGGCACTTCCAGGGATCCAGGAGCAGCCACAGCTTCTCTGSGCRCCCTGTGCCAGGGCCTCYCCACCYTCCCAGCCAGGAATTCCTTCCCAATATCCCATCCATTCCTKCCCTCTGGCAGTTTGAAGSCATTCYCTGTGTCCTGTCCCTCCATCCCTTGYCCCCAGTCCCTCTCCAGCTCTCCTGGAGCCCCTTYRGGCCCTGGAAGGRGCTCTGAGCTCTCCCTGGAKCCTTCTCCAGGTKAACATTCCCAGCTCTCCCAGSCTKGCTCCAGCCCTTTGGAAAACTGTATCCATGTATAATTAACATGGATAACCTGTCACAGATAACAGGAGAGATCTGCCTTATTTATATGAAAATACTCTAYAAAAGTCCATAAAGTCTAGGTGAGTTTATGTAAGAACTCAGTAGAAGTTGTATATTTTAAAGAGTGTGTGACAGTATTTTATGGTCTTTGTAAGATGTTCTAAAATCCCTATAAAATCAAATGCAAAAACTAAAATTACCATTGCAAAGTAAAAGCCACTTTTGCCACTTTTAGTTCTGATTTACACAGGGAAGACTTACTGGCATGTGGATGTAACATCAAATTTTAAGATGTGATTTCCAGAGGATTTAGTACCAGTTCCTGATGATTTGTACATCAGAAAATAAAACTGTCCAGGAGATTTGCCGATGTACTGAAAGATCTTATTTTGGTTCTTTCAGGGTGGAGATCCACCTCAGCCTCGAGCAGCTCATACATGTGCTGTGCTGGGAAATAAAGGTTACATCTTTGGAGGACGAGTGCTGGTAATTAAATATTTTCTTGGCAGTCATATTATTTTCCTGGCAGTTATTTTTTTTCACTTTGTAGTAGGAAAAAAAATCCCAAATGTCTTTGGCCTAACCTGCATGTTAAAGGCTCTGAATCCAGGATGCTGCTTGTCATCACCCTCTTCAAAAAGAAGAATATTTCTGTCTAATATTAATGATTGTCCCAGAAAAGGTAAAACACAGATGACTGCATGGTAAATAACAGATTTCAGTTGGCTTTATAATTTAATTTTGCCATCTTTTGCACATAAGTGACTGAAATACAGATGTCTGGAAGAGGTAATAGACAAAAGGATGCAATCTGTGCATATTTAATTTAGGACTGGATTGTGGCTGTGTAATTTTAACTCTTCCTGATGTTCTTGAACCTAAAAGAGTCATAGGCATCACCCCCCTGATTATCTGTACCCAAAAACCATGAGGCCACCACTGGTAAGCAAGGAGATGCTAAAACCTCTCAGCAACACTTTTAATTTCTCCAGTGCTAATTAAAGGAGATTTACTCTTTGCTGAAGCATTAATATAAGAAGAGATTCTGTAAGGCAAGTTAAAACCCTCCCAAGTGAAGTTACTGTGCACTCTTGTATTTTATTTTTAATTTCAGTTTTTAGCTCTTTTTACTACAGCTGATTTAGAGCCTTTAATCCTACTCAGCTAGAGGATGAGCCTGGATGTTTTCTATCTCTGCTCCAAAAAGTGACAGTGAAGAAGCTTCTGAAAGCCCCCAGTGCTGAGTTCCTATAGTTGTGTTCTAGAAAAGAGAAGGAATTAGTTTGGGAATGCCCAACAGCGAGCACATGCCAACTCCACCTTGGAAATCTGCCACAGCCTCACCCCTGTATTCCCAAGAACTGGCAAACAAAGCAGTGGAAAGCTGCACTTTGTTCCCCATTTGCTGTTTTCCCTGCTGTAACATTCCTTTGGCAAATCTGCAGTCCTGTTCCCYGTGACTTCTGCTCCTGATGCTCAGACAAAGCTCAGCCCCTCACACCAAGGCAGGGGCAGAGTGACCACACCATGGCCAGGCTGAACTGCTTCCCACAGCTGCAGGAAAAGGTTTTATTGAAGTGCCTTTCCAGAGCAAACAGAAAAAAAAAAAAAAAAWWAAATGGATCCTGTTTGCTTTTGCCATTGCATGACCTTTGATTCAGGAACTCTGGAATTGTTGCCCTGAGAGAGAGCTGCACTCAGCACCTTCCAGAGCTGTAGGTTTGGACAAACTGGGTTTGCAAATAACTGAAGGAAATAAAGAGATTTGAGAAGAGATTGAAAAATCAGGGTTCTGTGCCTCTGCATGGATTTGCTCTGCCCTGTGTGCCCATAACTGAGCCCTTGCTGACCACAGCCAAGTCCTGCTCCTCACTCAGGGAGTCTGAGAGGGAAAAAGTGCAGCTGTGAAGATGTAAAGGTGCAGCCCAGGCCCTCCTCCTGCCCTGCCCTTTATTCCTGAGAATCTCCAAAGCCTYCTTCCTTCCCTCAGGGTTTGTTCAGTGAGGGTTGTGTGCTCACCCCGGGGTTGCTGCACTCTTGAACTGCTCTGTAACTCGAGCTGGGGTTTCAGGCAGCCTCTGCAAGTGAAATGATGATTTAGCTGGAGCTCACCTGTCATTTCTGTGCTGCTGCATGATAMGATCTGCCCTCAGAGGATTTGGCCTCAGGCTTCTGTTTTAACTCTGTTTGGCTACAGGTTTCAGAAGGCTCTGATCTGAAAAGGTTTTTCTCTTCARCTTCCTTAAAAACTTGCTAAATTTCAATGAAACCACTTGGGARATTGTGTCAGAGAAGAGTGAAATTGTGGAAAGCTGTATTTAAATTCTGTAGGAGAGCAGCAAGTGTAATTTTCACCCTAGTGATTGTTATTGATCCATTTTCTGTCGTAGAAATAAATGGAAGGAAACATAAAAAAAGATGAGGGARCATTCAGTGGGGCTTGAGGAATTAATGTAAGTCGTGAAACAAGAAAGCTAAAGACAGCAGAAAAACACTAAATTTCTTGACACCAGAAGTAATTCCTCCCCAAAGGATGAAGTTTTGCTTTTCTCCAGAAATTAAGGAGCAAATACGGGGTTGCTCTGCTCCTCCTTCTCCTTCTAGTTCACCATAATACAAATCTTCCCAGGGAAAAGGCTCTGCAAGGAACCAGAAAGGGCCAGGAAGTGTCATGAGGCTTCTCCTATTCATCTTTCTGGGAGGAAAGGGCACCTTTTTCCAAACTTGGAGCTAGAACTGGTAAAAGAAGATGATGATGATGATGATGATGATGATGATGATGAGAATCAGTTGTACCAGGAATCATTTGAAAACAGGCTCAGAAGTGTTATGTGGACTCAGTTCCTTCAGGTAAGCCCCTGGAAAAACAGGAATGGGAGAAAGTGGGAAGGAAGGAGAGTTAGTCCAGAAGTTGATGCRAGTCTTATGTTTGATTTAAGTGGAAAATTTTCATGTTGAGAGTGAAGTAATAAACCAAAATCTTTGCAGCAGCTCTTCACACATCTGGTGCCTTAATGTAAGCATGTTTATATTTCCTGTAACCCCTCCTGCCAGAAAAGATCAGAAGATTCATGGAGCTGCAATCCTTCTCTTGGCAAAGCTTGGAGCTGGAATAGCTGTTTGATTGTAAATCCAGCAGGGAGAGCTGCACAATTCCCCGTCCCAGCAGCGAGCTGTGAATAATGTCACCCTTAAAGCCTTTCATCGTGCTGCACAGCTAATCCTGAGACAAAGCAGCTCCTGCTTAATGTGCACTGAGCTGCAAAGAAATGAACTCGCCCGAGATAAGCAGAATGGTTCAGGAGCCCTTGTAGCTCTGAGGRAAATGCAAACCCTCTTAGGAGGCTTGGTGCTTTTAAGCCAATTAAGAACCATTTTAGGATTGTCAGCAGAATGATTCAATACAAAAGGAAAGAGTCAGAAATGCAGGAGAATCTGCACTGTGGCACGTGATGATCCTATAAACCTGCGTGCTTTCCAGCTTCCCCARGAAGGGTTGGGTAGAAAGGTGCTTTTTGTTAAAGGATGAATGTTGGACAGAAGTGTCCAGCTGCTGGTGGTTTGAATTCCAAGTRAGGTTGCTGTAATTGTGCATCTGTCCAGCTGTTGAATTGTGAGAATGTAAAGATTATAACACATTGATTTCCCAGGAAACTGAGAACTCCATCTTCTGCCTAATGCCTAGGAAGGGAAAGTCAGCGAGGAGRTCTTGAACAGGATCCTCTTGAAACCTTAATATTCAACATGACAACAACTTCCTTCCCATGCTTTGATAGATAYCCTTCATATCAAATTGTGTTATTCCAACAGGATTGAATATTTTCAGTGGTAGAGGCCAGGATGTTGGGTTTTCCCCAAATGTACAGAAGATCCCAACTGCATTTTGSTTTCTGCTTGGATGATTTGGTCCTCATCCCCTTCAAAGGCACCAGAAGGAGCAGGAAAGTGGATAGACTTGTCCTGGAAGACAGATTTGTTCCCCTGGCTGTCAGCTGAACCACACTTTGTTGTTACATTCACCCTSTTGAGGGATAAAATGTCTCAGGCAATGCCCCAAACCCTCACAATCTGCTTTTCTTTATCTTACTGCCCTCTCCAAAGCATCCCAAAATGCTTGTGACCCTTCCCAGGACAGCAAAGGGTTAGCAGGACTTGGCAGAGGAGGCCACAGCATTGCTGAAAACCGTGTTCTTCCCTGAAATTCCTGAGAGACTTCCCAGAGCTCTGCCTGCCAGCTCTGGAAGCCTCTCAGACTCACTCCCTGGCTGAGTTCTCAGGGGTAAAACCACTCCTTTCAGCCTAGTTCTGCCTCAGAGGATCTGCAAGCTGGAGAARGGCTTTTTCTAATAGATCTATGGACTTCCCAGGGAGAAAAGGAGTTGGAAGGTAAGGCAAGATCCATTTCCCTACTTCCCAGATGTTTGTGGTAGTGTCCAGGGGAATCAGAGCCACCAGAGAAATCCTTGATCACCTTCTCCACCACCCCAAGGCAGTCAGAGAATTCCTCCATCTCAAACCCCAGSCAGATGAGCAAGTGGAATGATTCCCCATTTGATCTTATGGCAAATGCTAAAGGGTCCTAAAACCTTGGCCTTGCTGGTGGTCACTTGGTGAAAGGGAAAGAGAAAAGCACAATAATGGACTTTTTATGGGAATACCCTGAGTACAGCACCTACCAGGATACTCCAAGGAGTAGTGACCAGACAGGAGGATACAAACTTGTGATCAGAATGACAAGAAAAATAACATCAGACAACAGTAGGAGAGTAAAAAACCTTCTGCATTTCCCTGCCATGAGTTCTGTGGATGGAAGTTAAATGCATTTGCAGGAACTGGATAAATACCACAAAGTTCTTCACTGTTAAAAGCTAAAATTGGCCCCATAGTGCTGTTGCATGGCTGGAAATATTCCTGACAGGCACTTTTCTGAGAGTTGCATGGTTTTTTTGAGGAGGAGAAAAGCTTTTCATCTGCCACATAATTCAGATTTATGTTAAGGCACATGGGTAGAGATTTCTTCAGAATATTGGAATATTCTGTCCCAGGAAGGCCTCACTGAAATACTTTGTTGATTGTTTGCTTAAAATAACCCAACTGGGATTTTATTTCTTTGTTTTAGCAAACCAGAATGAATGATTTGCACTGCCTGAATTTAGACACTTGGACTTGGTCTGGAAGGTAAGTTTGCCTTCGTAACACTTAAAACTGAATTTAGAAGATGGAAACATRCTGTTAAATTGTTCCAGAGCTATTCCTGCAGCTTTTCCAGGAGGAGAATGAGAGTTTGGGGACTGTTTAACAGCTGCTACATTGGGATTTCAATTGAATTTAATTTGATAGTGGTTACTGAGCTTTTCCTGTTCTGCACCAAAGCATTGATGATGCTGTTTAAAGCACAGCATGGAGTGATTTAACRCCCTCATTTTCAGCCTGGGTACATTTATCCATATGGAATTCCAGGTTTGATGGCTTTTTGAATGCTGCTTTTGCTGTCTGTAGTTGGGCTAATTACAGCACAAATATGGGAAAGGTCTCTTTCATAAAAGTTCATAAAATCTTAAAAAAATGAAGATTTTTCCAAAATTCAATTTATATTGTGTTTCTATTTTATGAATAGCTYATAAAATTTTCCATGATTTAGGATAGATTTTGATCATTGTAAATTTAGGAATGTTCTATTCAGCTATTGCAGCACCTCTGCTAAGTCTTTTAGAGACTGAAAGAAAGAGATTGAAGACTGAAAAAAAAGAAGATTTAACATATTAAGGGGAAAAAAGTTTTCACAGTGCCTGCAGCTGTTGGCACCTCACAGGAGAGAAAAGTTAATAATTATTCATTACTTATTTTATCTCCTAATCACAAAAGGAGCCCATAATTAATTATTACTAAATAATGATTTTATTTGCTAACCAGTCAAGTTTTTTTCTTCCTCAACTCTACACAGCTTTCTTAAGGAATTGCACAATTTGAACCTGCTAACCCAGGATTATCATCCAGCAGGAGATTGCAAGATTTATTTTAGCTGCCACTACCCAGAAGTTACTTTCCCTACCTCAATCTCTACTAAATTTTCATTCAATATTAGGTTATTTCTGGTACTGAGATCATTTCTTGTGCACAAAAATTGAAATTTTATCAATTATCAGATATGTTTGATGGGGTTTTTTAACCATCAATGCCCAGGCTGCCCTTSGACCAATTTTAGATTTTTTTTCCAAGAATTCTAAAGCAAAAGCACACTTGGCTACAAACAAACATTGCAACTTGGCCTCAAGTTCAGTGCCAAATTTAGCAGGGCAGTTTTGCAATCCCTGTTTAATTATCTCTGATYCTGCAGCCTTGGCTTCCAGATGGAGAACTCAGCAGTTCCCAGCAGGGAGATCCCTCCATTCCCCACCCAGGGCTCTGTGAAGAGAAACAGGCACTTCCTGGGGGGAGGCAGCTGCTCCTGAGGGAGCCATGGGCAATAAATCTCAGTTGTGTTTGGCAGGAGCTGGATTTCTTCACTGGGTGCAAAGGAAGTTGAGCTGAGTGCATTGCTCAGGCTGAGCTCACTCTGTGTGTGCTACAGAGTGATAAAACCAACCAAAACTGGGGTTTTTGGGATATCCTATTTGTTCAGGATCTTTTTCACATTCTCAAGCAAACCCAACTAAAAATCAATTTCAGCAGCTCAGCTGAAATAGATTTCAAATTACATTTTTATAGCAATAATAAACTTGCATCTGTTTTGTACTTAGGAAATCTCCTTTTTATTTACATTTGTTTCAAAGTTTGGGTGACCACCTGCTTGAAGAGGTGGTGGCTTTGGGATCAAGGGCAAAGCCCCAATCTTTGTGTCATTTAAAATCATTTTCCTAGGAGTGGAGAGGCTGTAACCCCTCAGGATTCATTAATTTTTCTCTCAATTAACTGTTTYCCTACATGTACATGTTGTTTATTAGGATATTTAGTCTTTGTTTCCTTCACAGGGAAAATACCCAAGGTGGTTCTAGGACAAACTCTRAAATTTTCTGCCAACTTMATTTTCAGCAYTGTTTGAAACTTTGGGGTTTTTTYTGTTTCTTTGTTTCACCCAGGATTAATATCAGTGGAGAGAAGCCCAGAGATCGCTCCTGGCACACGCTGACTCCAATAGGGGATGACAGACTTTTCCTTTTTGGTGGCCTAAGCTCTGATAATGTTCCTTTGAGTGAGTAATTCTGAGATTATCATTCCATTGTGCACTTCAGATCACAGAGACAAGCTGTGGGATTGTCTTAGAAGAATTCCTGTTGTAGAAAAGGCAGCTTGTTTTCWTGAWAACAACCCAAAATTAGCAAAAATARTTTTAAGAGAAATAAAAATAATMATAATTTTACAGATAAATCCACTTGGAGGGGGTGATTTTCTTAATTTACCCAAAAGAACAAGGTTAAGTGTGTTTTAATTCCAGATTTCAACGCAGTGAGTGACAATATTAAATAAAAAAAAGAAAATGCAGCTTCACACAGTGATGATGTTACTGCAGTCTGAATACAACGTGCTCTTAGAGCTGTTTCTGTGCATATAAAAGGGAATTCTTTGTCCCAAAAACCTCACTAATGAGTGTTCCTCCATTGCAGGTGATGGTTGGATCCACAGCATTGCCACAAATGGATGGAAACAGCTCACCCATCTGCCTAAGAGCAGGCCTAGGTACAGAAACATTAATAATGTGTGCTGAAATCTAATAATTTTCCTAATTAACCCATTTTTTAATTATTGAACAATATTCTTAATATTTTAGAATATTAATTATGCAGTGTGATTGAATATTTTGCTTTAACACCTTATTTTCCTTCCTACTTCATAGAGCATTTTGAATTCGTGTATTTGTTCTCACTGATGCTTATTTGCATAAAAGATGTTTTTGTGATGAAGCATCTGGGTGTCCAACTGTAACCTGGTGCTCTGTATCCAATTTATTATCATAGAAACAAATACATCAGACTTAKGAGGAATTCATAAGCAAGGAGAATAATTGATGCATTTTTAGAAATGGGGAAGAGAAGAGCCATGAAAAAATTGATGCATCTTTGAGGGTTCAAAAGCAAAATTGAGTGCTAACACAGTGAAGCATATCTGTGTTTATAAGTTAAATACTGTTGGACTGATTTGCAGTAGATCATAAATATTCTGGGTTTTGTTGAATTCTCTGCATTCACCCAGGAACTCTCACCACAATTTGATATCATTCTTTTATCTGCAAATATGTCCAGTTCTGGTCTGCTTCCTGCCTTATGTCTGTTATTGAAATACCTTTGCCTCCATTAATTTTCTTTCTGTTTTATCCTATTCTGGGCTGACTTAAAAATACAACAGCCACAGCTAAACCAACTTTTCTGCTTTCTTACACTGCAGACTCTTCCAAGCCCATATAAACTCAGCCCTCAGCCTCACCAAATATTTTCTTTTTATGATTAGTGATATTTTCATGATCTTTTTATTATATTTTAAGGACTGAGGAGTTTTTAAMTACAGCCCAGCAGTAGCAGCCAGGCATCTGTGTTTGGTTCTTTAGTCTCCTAAACATTCACTGTGTCKTAATTTTTACTGGAAAAAGCTCAGGGAGGTTTAAGGCAGTTCAATAGCTCTTATGACTTCAAATGCAGGGCAGTAATACATATATGTGTACTACTTTTATATATTTCTCWTATTTTGTAATAAAATCCATTAGTGTATTTCTTGATACTCTGATTCCCTCCCTAAATCCTGTGAAGAAAAATTTCCTTTGACCTTCAGTTCTAGTGATTTCCAAAAAATTGTCTTCTCAGGTAATTCTGAACTGGTAGAAAATGTCCATCAGTTATACTTCAGCCAACGTTTTGTATGCTGGATTAAATAAAAAYAGAARTATTTTATATAAAATATTTTATATAAATAATAGATTTTATATCTATGAATATTTTATATAAAATAGAGAACAAACTGTTTTAACTCCTGGATTCCCAATGTTTTTCATTCCCATGTAATGCTGTTACTGTAGCAGGAAGAGCCAAARGATCTGTGTGATTTCAATAACGTGCTTTGTTAGAATGTTTAGGTGATAAGTTAGAGCAGCCCATGGGAGGACAGAAACTCTCAGGCAGTAGAAAAGCCTCAGGTTGCAAGCTAGAATGTCACCAGAGTCAAGGCAGGAAAGGCTTCCCAGTGTTCTCCGTGACCAAGCCCAGGCCAGAATTTCCCTAATGCAGATCAGGCAGAGACACAGGTATGAGGAAGGGAAAAGGTGAAGTACATCCTAAGGGCTGATGTGGATGGAGTAAGAAAGTGGGAACATTGATTTTTGATTGAAACTTCAGCAGTGCATTTGATTTTGATTCGGTAGCTCTGAAGTCCATCATCTTGTGATCATCAGTGGTGATAGACCAGCAAAAAAATCTTATAAAATCATATCAAATCTCATAAAATCTCACAAGGTGTGGCTGCTGAAAGAACAGAATCTTTGTGAGAGCCAGATTATAAAGTCAGGCTTTACTTTTGTGGGGTTTTTATTGTGTATTCCTATATACACAGCACAAAACTGGGTGTGATATAAATCACTGATTCCCAGAAAAGTAAAATAATCCCAGGAATCTTTGGGGGAAGTGTAAGACTGGGACAGGGAAACTGGTGATCCAAGTGCTCAGGGATCATGTCAGAACTGAGAACTGCCCAGTCTGAAAGCCACGAGATTTTTACTTCTCAACCAAAGAAAGTGGAAAATTGAAAAAGGAAAAGCTTGGCAAAAGCTTGGTTTGTAGAGTTGTTTAAAAATTTTCCACTGTGCTGATAAATAAGACAAAGTTGATATGATCAGAGTACAGAAGAGTCAAATCATGACAAAATAAATTAGTCTGTATGAAAATAACTCTCCATGAGGTGGGGAGTCACATTGGTCTCTCCTTTTATATTATTACACCAACAAAATAAATATATTTTAAGGTATTATTTTTACCACTGAAATAATGTCTTTATCTTGCTGATCACACACAATTTCTTGTTTCTTGGACTCTGATTGTATTTCTGGTTTTATTTCCAGGTTGTGGCACACAGCCTGCCTTGGACAGGAGGGAGAAGTGATGGTGTTTGGTGGCAGCAAAGATGATTTGCTCTTTATGGACACGGTCAGTAAAATGAACAATGAATCCCATCACTTGGATAATTATAATTGATATAAAATCATGGAATGGTTGGAGTTGGGAGGAACCTTAAAGTCTGTCTAATCCACCCTCTGCCATGAGCAGAGACACCTTAGACCATCCCAGGCTGGTCCAAGCCCAGTCCAGCCTGGCCCTGGACACTTCCAGGGATGGGAAGTCCAAAACCTCTGTGAGGAAATTAATTAATAAATATATTTTTATATAGGTTTATAATTTTATAAACAAAAGAAAACCAAACAAAAGAAAACCAAACAAAAAATATCCAAACAAAAAACCCCAAACCAACCAACCAAATAAAAAAAACCCAAAACCTACCAAAAAAACCCAAACAAACCCTAAAAACCAAAACAAAACAAAAAAAAAACCCAAACCACATGGAGACCTTGGCTCAGATTGGTATCTGAAACCATTACAAGTTACACACCACTGAGGAAATTGTTGTAATTTACACACCACCARTTCCACTGAGGAATCCCCACCTGAGCTTTCTTGACCAAAAGACTATAAAGGAATTTGTAATTCAGATTCCTTATAAATAGTTTGGTGTAATAAGTCTTAAATCGTGCATGTGGTAATAAATGTGACATTAATGTAGAAAATGGCTGAGATGGAGAACCTTCTTTGCCATTTTAATGGTTCTTTTTTCCTCCTGCTCAGGGTCACTGCAGTGACTTGCTGATATTTCAGACTCAGCCTTACTCCCTCCTCAGGTGAGTTYACTGAATCCCAGAATGGTTTGGRTTGGGAGGGACATTAAATCCCATCTTKTTCYRTGGGCWGGGACACCTTCCCCYATCCCAGGTTGCTCCAAGTGTTATTTTAGCCTCACATTCCTGCAGAAATTGGRTAAAATGCCCCATTAACTCCTCAGGAAATACTTGAACCCTTCAATGTGTGATGCTGCCCAGCAGTTTAATCACTGGTGCTGTGGAACTCCCTGCACTGCACCCACACCACCTGTAATTAACACCTGTAATTAATGCACCTCACCATAATTTCTTAAAATAGAAACCATTGATTTAAACTTATTTTTTCTTCCAATTTCCTTCCTCAGGCTGTGTCTCGACTGCATCGGGAAGAACGCAGCTCTCTTGGAGAACCAAATTCCCTGCTTGCCATCCAAACTTCTGCAGGACGTGCTGAAAAAAATCACCTTCTGGGCTGCCATGACCCACAGGCAGGAGAGAAAAGCTGAGACTGAAAGACAAAACCAGCTCCACTCCACATGAAGCAGGGCAGGGACACRCTGGGACACCTCAGGGTGGTTTGTGAGTGAACTTTGCTGCTGTTCCACTGTGTTCAGCTGAGTTTCTAAGTGAAGTTTGAAGACAAATCCTTTTTATGGGAATCTCTTGGTTCCTGCAATACAGAAAATTGATACAACTTCATTTCTAGATATTGTTCACCTCTGCTGTCGTGGTCTTGACTATGCAGCCCACACAACTTGTTTTTTTTGGAAGGGACATGATCCGTTTCAGTTGGATAAAACGTGTTTTCAGTTTAAAAACCCTCCTTGGCCTTATCCCATCAGCCTTCCCAAAAAGATTAATTCAACTCGCTGTTTTGGAGACACTTTGTCAGTCTTAAAGGTAACAAATTTACCACCACCACCAAATCCTGATTCCACCAGCCTCYGACCATCCAATCCAACCCTGGAGCCCCACACCTCACGCTCCAAGTAGGAAAATCCATCAGGGAATTGTGGAACTTGAAGAAAAAGCTGCAACGAGCAACATCACCTGATCTCTATAGGAAAACTTGAGTTTCATCAYCTGATTTTACTGTTTCTGTCATCAGGAAGTCCTTTTGGAAACGAGTTGTATATTGTATTTTGGATGTGCAAAGTTTATATTTCATTCTTGTTAAACAAAGAAACCAACCAAGTTGCTTATTTATTGTTTAAAGAAAAAGCCAATGTAGTACTGGTTATTTTTCTGTTTCAAAAATTTAGTTAACAGGARCACAGTCATTAAAATTTTATAGAGAGTTGGATCAAGAGCCATTTTGACAATTTTGATGTTTTTGCAATGTGTAAAAMTGAATTCTTTGGGGAAAAGAGGTTYKGGGGAAGCAAATATGTATCAAAAAGGAAGTTTTGTGACTGGGTATTCTAACAGCTGAATTTTATGTGCTGAACTCCCTCTCATCCTTTTTTTGGGGGGGAGGGGGAGTTCAGATGCTCCCCAAGGTTTGATTTGGGGGGGTTGGGATTGATTTGGTGGGTTTAGGATTGATTTGGTGGGTTCAGATGCCCCCAAGGTTAATTTGGGGTTGTTCAGGCATCCCCAATGTTAATTTGGGGGGGGTTCAGCTGGTCCCAGTGTGAATTTGAGATGGTTCAAATGATCCCAATGTTAATTTGGGGGGTTTCAGATGACCCTGATGTTAGTTCTGGGGTTGTTCAGGAGTCCCAAAGATGAATTTTGGGTTGTTCAGGTGTCCCCAGTGTGAATTTGGGGTGTTCAGGTGCCTTCATGGTCAATTTGGGGAGATTCAAGTACACTCATGGTTAATGTGGGGATGGTTCAGATGCCTCCAGTGTTAATTCTGGGATGTTCAGCTGCCCTCAGTGTAATTTTGGGGTTGTTCAGGTGCTCCCAGTGTTAATTTTGGGATGTTCAGATGCCCTCAGTTTAATTTTGGGGTTGTTTAGGTGCCCCCAGTGTGAAGTTTGGAGTGCTCAGCTGCCCCCAGTGTTACTTTTGTGGGTTCAGGAGTCCCCACTGTGAATTTGGGGGTCATTGGTGCCCTCTGTTTTCATTTCGGGATTGTTCAGATGTCCCCAGTGTGAATTTTGGGGTCATTCTTGAGTCCCCAGTTAATTTTGGGGTTATTTAGGTGCCCCCCAGTATTAATTTTGGGGTCATTTGGATGTCCCCAGTGTGAATTTTGGGGTTACTTAAGAGTCCCCAGTGTTTATTTTGGGGTCATTCCCAGTCCCCGATGTTCACTTTGGGGTTATTTAGGTGCCCCCAATGTTTATTTCGGGGTCATTCCCAGTACCCAATGTGAATCTCGGGGTTATTTAGGTGCCCTCAGTGTGAATTTCGGGGTCATTCCTAGTCCCCGATGTTGATTTTGGGGTTATTTAGGTGCCCTCAATGT